GACGTGCTTTTAGGAAAATGATACTTGGCAGAGACGCTTGGGAAAGCAGGCCTGGCCTAGTCTCGCTACAGGATATGCCGATTTTCACTGGCCTCTGGCTCTCAATCAGAGCTTTACTGAAACCCTTTGGACTGACACCTCACCCGGTGTTTCGGCTGTCTGTCGGCTCCTAATTAAAACGCATTCCCTCAAACCGGCAGCACTGTAGCTGTCACACACCCCTGAGTTGCTCACCCCTGGAGGCTCTCTCCTTATGTAATGAGTCCTCAACTCGGCTGAGCATAAGGAGCAGCGATGGAATCTAATTGTCTCGGGTCTCTCAGGTAGGAGACGCACTGTCCCCCGATCGGGGACAGAGAAGGCCGTTAAGAAGGGCAGCGCTTTTAAAGTTGAGGGCTGGCTGCTTGGCTGTCTGTGGCGCCGTTGAGTGTCTTTGGAGAGTGTGGCGTTCGATGCTGCCTGGATGATGAAACACGGGCCCCACCGCACCACAGCACGTTCTCGGCACCCGGAGCACTCACTCATTTTCACCTTTGAGCAAGATAAAATTAGCACATGCAGCTTCCTGCTGGGAGCGCTGGAGTGTTCGGTGTCTTTTTGTGCGCGTGCATGCTTGAGTGTGTGCGTGAACGTGTGTGTGCGTGAACGTGTGCGTGTGTGTGTGTGTGTGTGTGTGTGTGTGTGTGTACGGCTGTCATATTAACCAAGTGAACGCCGTGCGGCTGAGTCTGGCTAGAGAAAGCTGCGCTGTTGTGACATTCCCTCCCATTTACATGTGAAGGGCTGTCCATGCCTTTACACTACCCGCGGGTCACCTCGTGACTGCTCAGAGAGTTCAGTCCCGCTCGAACGGGCGATGCTATGCCTCTCATGCATTTAGGGCTAATGCTGAAGCTAGAGATCGAAAGACATGTGATAGTTCATTCACACCTCTTGCAGGGGTGCAATAATATGTTTTATCTTTTTCATAGTTAAATGCAAAAACTCTTGAATGCATTGCTGCAAACCCCAAAATGCCCTTTTCTCGTTAAAGGAATTGCACCATCTTGGTCCTGGATGTTGTGTGGCTCTTGGTGTTTGGGTTTTGGAACGGCCACCCTTGGTGAGCGAGAAAGCTCTCGGACTGCAAAAGTGGCCTCGTAAGCTGCTCTCTGTGGTGATGGAGGAAGATGCCTGTAATGCTTGCAGTTGCTACTCTTGGGCTTTACTGCCCCCCACCCTCCCCATGCCTGTCTTCCCCTGTTCTTTCTTAAAATCCTGTTTCCTAATAGTGATACAGTGCGTTATTCTATATGAAGCCTTGAGCTGTTTGTTGGCAGGGAAGTCTGTAGCATTCTTTGGGTCTTTATAGCCTGGTTTGGCTCTGACAGATTGCTTTACGTTTAATGGCTTTTTCTCTTTTTGTTTGTCTCTCTTGGTCTTGACGTCGTGCTGAATCTTATGCCCTGCATCTGTCCTTGAGAGGACAAACCTCATCTGAAGCAGCACAATAGGTTATCTTGGAGTCATCACTTCCCAGGAATGGGCGGGTTTCCAAGCTCCCCAGTTGAAAATGTGCCACCAGACTGGTTTTTGACAAATCTGAATGCTCCCAGAAGACATTTGCTTAGAGACTGAGGCTTGCGTTTTGGTTGTCGTCCTCCGTGGGATGGCTGGTAGCCTGGGAGGGGGGCCTCCTAGTGCCATGAAGTGACGCTGCACGGTGACTGCATGGCAGCGACAGGTTCGATGGCTCCAGCTCTATTATTGATGAGATCCATGGCCAGAAATCCTGCCTCTCATGCTCCCCGGGGAATGTGGGAATTCAGACTCGTATCACAAAGAGGTTTATTCAGTGAGTGAGTAACAGGGTCCAGGAACACGTCTGCCTCCACCTCCTGTATTGACAGTGTGCTATGGTAAAATCTCTGGGTGCTCTCGCCCTGTACTGACATCTTAATCACTCATAACGCACATCAGTTGGGCAGGAAGAGTTAAAAGTGCCGTGCCAGGCTTTGGGCATGGTGGTAGGGTTCATAGTATTGGTATGAAATTGGTTTGTTGCAAAACTGGTTTGTTGCATGTTTTTGGAATCCTAGCAAGGATGTCCAAAGAATTATTCAGATGTTTGCATTTTGCTCTCACATTTAAGAGTGTGTATGATGTAGAGTGGGTGGTGTTACTTGGTAACAGAAAATACACCAGTTTTTAAATCTCTGTTCTCTGCCCCCACCTCAGGCTGGAGGAAACCCTCAGCACATAGATGAAGGCACTGCATGCATGCAGCAAGATGCAAATCACACTCCCCTTTGGAGAAATTAGTCGCGCTGGTCTTCGCTGCATTATTTATCACACGGCCGCGTGTGTTGGCTGCTGACGTTTGTCCCCCCCCCCCCCCCCCCCCTGCCTCGGCTCCCCTGTTTTCCAGATACTGCTTAGCTTCACAGGGATCCTGGGTCTCACACTAATAATGCAGCTGATAATGACAGTTGTGGCCCCCAGTTGTGGTGACGATTGTGCCCTTTTTCCCCCCCTGTTTGTTGAGACTCCTCCATGAGCAGCAAATTAGCACTAAAAGCTAGTGTTGCAGTAGGTGCACATGAGAGATGCTCAGCATCTCTGCTCTGCTTGGGCCCTGGTGACTCGAACCCTGATTTCTCGGGCCTGTAGGAATAATCTGGCCTTTTTCCCTCCTTCCTTGTTTGGTAGGGCTAAAATGAAGACTGTAAAGGCTTATTATCCATGCTGTGTCCTGTTAAGAGGAAATGCTGTTAATAGACAGTGAATGAAAATAACCAGAAAGCTCTTCTATAGCTCAAGGCTTTCTCTCCTCGTCTGGCTCGTAGTGATGATGACAGCGTGCTAATTGGTATGGTGAGACTGAATCAGAGTCCTGCACCGGGACGGGTAACCGCAGATAGTTGCTGAAACAGGCGGATTTTAATGTTCTGGAATTATGCGGGCGGGGAATTCATTACACACGGGCGGGTAGCAGGTCAATCAAAACAGTATTGTAGCCTGCAACAATAACATATAAGCGAAAATATGTATGTATTAAACTATCATGTACAAATTGTCATCATCACAGTGTGTTCAGTATGTCAGGGGTACCTTATGGTGCCTTCGATTATTTCTCTCCAAGTCGGAACTCGGATGAAAACGTCAAGAAAAACGTTGGACAACGTCGGAAACACGCCTCTTTTATGACGTTGATGTCGGACGAGATTTCGTCGTCCGAGTTGACCCTGTGACGTAATTTCAACATGGCAGCTTACACACATAACCGTAAACAGTACCCTATCATGCAATATCAGATTTTTACCAAACTTGTTAGTGTCTTTGGTTTGTTTGTAGTTTGTTTGCTATGAATGTGCTAAAATATTTTATAAAGCTTTTAATGTGGTTTGACTAGTTTGTGTTTCTTGTTTGTTTGTCTCTCGGAAAAAATAATCTCACTCCAAATCTGCTAAAATATAAAGCAACAACACACAGCAGCGTGTTTATGGGGGCAGCCATGTTTGTTCCGAGATGTGGTGGCTCGAACGGGAGATTGTCGGACGTGATGTCACTCAACTCGGAATTTCCGAGTTCCGAGAGAAAAACGAACGCACCATTAGATAACCGCCTCGACAAACATTCACATACACGTCTGAATCCTTGCTGAAGCGTGTCATCGTGTTCTCTCTTTCACGCTCGTCACAGTATAGATAGCTTAGATCTATCTGATTTGATTTTGTGTTAAACTGACTTTTTCATTTCAATTCAAAATTCATGTAGGCCTAGCGCTCGTCACGTTGAGAGGTGCATAGAAAAAATAATTGTGTGTAATTTATCATGGGTACAGGCTGGTAACGGGCGGAATGTTAACGGACCCGGGCGGATGCGGATTTAACTTTGAAATAATCACGGGTGCACAGGCGGGTGTGGTGCTGTACTGTGCAGGTGCGGGCGGGTGCAGGTCTCCAAAAGTGGGCCCGTCCAGGACTCCGGACTGAATGTAGAATGAAATGCTGTTACTAAGAATGCTGGGTAATGCAGTTCTTATAAACATTATCCAGGCACCTGAAACTGCATCCAGGTGCTCTAGGATTTCAGTATTGAATACTTAGCTTGGCCTTCTGCTCTGAAATTCTCAGGTGTCTGCTTGCCCCACCCCAATGCTGTGTGATTGGTCAGATTAATGAGGAATGAGCTTCGTCATTGACTGATAGACTTCACTTTATGCGTGACACATGCATAGATCATCTTTGAGTAAACAAGTTTTTTTTATGTATTTATTTTTTTAAGAAAAATATATAGAAATTCAGAATGTTCCAGGAGTTAACATTTGTGCCTGTTTTAAAATGGACATGCTGCTTATAATATAGATGTTACAGGTTTTGTCTTTGGTGACTGAACACTGTTGTATCAATGGCACATTTTGAATAAACAGAAACCTCTGCTTGGCTTTTCTGCCAAGCATACGCAAGATAACTCGTGGAGCGTGTCATGGCATGTCTGTGATTAAGAGGTGCAATATCTCATTAGGCCGGCCCATTAAATCTCCCAAAGTTCAATTTAGCCGCTTAATATGACAAGTGGATGCTTGAAAGTATTCACGCACAAAGACGCCCCCCCATCGATGTCTTGATATCTTTATGCCATTCCCTCACACCTTTCATGGGCCGAGTCGGCCATCTCTCTCTCCAGCACGAGCTCGCTTTGTCGTATTACAAGCGTGCATTAAGGCAGAGTATTGTGTCTGCCGCCAGTGAAATAAGTATGTTATTTGACGGCTCTCATCTCGGAGTGGGGTAATTTGGGCGTGAGCAGCTCTGGCTGTAACCTGGGGCTGTTTGGTCGTGTCCCTGTTGATTGTGAGTGCAGGGCTCTGACTCACAAGCCTAGGCTTACCTCTCCGCTTGGTGACGCACAGTGTTAGTGCAGCACAGTTACACCACGGAGTCGCCATGCCGCTGTGTTCAGGTGACTGCAGTGAGCTTGCTGTACTGTACTGACCCATTTTCCCCCTCTCCTCTCAGGAAGAGCGGCCTGCCCACCCTGAGACAGACACTGCGGCAGAGAACAGACGGGCACTTTGACAGCAGGTGAGTGGCTAGCGCTGGCCCGGCGCTGCCGTATGCTACCGTGCCGTGGGTGTTCCTGACTGCACTGAGCTTTAGGAGCGACGCCTGAACTGCCTAGTGGCCATTTCGAGCTGCGCGTTTGCTGCAGGATGCTCTTGCTGTACCGGTCTGTACAGGTGGTTATTACTCACTGCCGGCTGACTGCTTACACCTTTACTGCTGCCTGATATTTAAGGCAGTTTGCTGACTCTTTAGATCCCCCAAAATGGCAGAAGGTGGCGTGGAAGTCATGACTGTTGGCGTTAATCAAGCCGATACTGCGTGTGAAGTCTAACAACTTCTCCTTTCATGCGGTTTGTCCCCTTGTACAAAAAGAGGCTTTACAGAAAGGTTAAGAAGCCATAAATATTGCAGGCTTATGTCTCAGATGAATTTATCTGTATTTCCTTACTGTAGAAGAAATCCATTGGGTTATTTGGGAAAAAAAAAGCTGTGATTCATCCATCTATCTATCTTACAAATTTACTTATCCAGTACTGGGTGAGAGGGGGCCCTGGATCACATCCCAGCAGTACCGGGCCTTCGGCAGGCGACACGCTGGACGGGATGCTTCTCGTTGGCATTGCTGAGTGCCCGTCGCAGGTTTAAATGTGAAGAGTGGCACCAGCTATGGAGGGCTGCCTTGGCACGGAGTGAGAGCCTTTATTTAGCAGCAGGAACGCCGCCTGCATCTTCTAAGACGGGAATATCCTGTCGGGTCACTTTGAATCACGCCAGCTCTCCCCCCCCCCGATTACTTTCCTCCCACCAACAGCCTCTCTGAGGTGGTGAGGGGTGTTTTGGCTGTGGGGGTGCCCTAGGATGCCCCCATCTCCTCTCACCGTACCTCTGCTTTGCTTGCTGGACCCGTGACACTCTGCTTAAGAGCCAGTGTCACTCGCTTGCCCGGGGTACCGCAGCCCGTGGACGGGTGGGTTTAGACGTGCCCCACATGACCATGGTGCGGATGTGATGGGGGCAGCCAGCACCCTTCCTGCGATGGGCAGGGACGTGGGCGACGGGAATGACATCCCACCAAACGGCGGCGTGTCATCGCGGCAGCGCCGCCGCGAGCACGTCATCACTCCGGCGCCACCAGGCACGCGCCCGCCGCAGTGTCCTTGGGAAGCGGGCGGCTCTGGCAGCACGCGACCCGTGTCTTCCGCTCGCTCTCCAGGTTAGCCTGGCTGGGGCCTTGGCAGGCGGAGGTGCGATGGTGTCATTTCTGAGCCCCTGCCGGCTTGGCTGGGCACTAAATGCCGGGAGTCACAATATTGTGATGAGGATGATGTGTACGGGGGAGGAAGATTGGGGGGGGGGGCATGAGCATCAGCGGCAGGAGCTTCTGCACAAAAACGTGTGATTTTCATGAGCTGTGCTTTCGGCCATGAGGCCGGTAAGGAGGGCGACGCTCTTCCATTAGCGAGAAACACCCTTCAGCCAGAGTGGAGCTGCTTAGTGCTTTTTCAGCTTAAAACCAGGTATTCTCAAAACACTTGCGCAGCAGTGAGTGTCTGCGCAGTTGGCAGCAGATACAGCGCCTCTGTGAATGTGCGCAGCTGGGCGCTTAACTGCCTGTGTTGACGGTTTATTTTCGAACGCCAGTATAGGGAACAAAGTAACACACAAGGTGATAGAAACAATTTATTAGCCGGCTTGTGAAGCGCTAGGTTTCGCAGGAAGCCTTGACGTTAATTGGAGCCGTAATAGACATTTTGATTGTGTTGAGTGACGCGCTTGCTGCTCTGTTTTATGTGGTCACAGTTCCGTAAACAGTGAGCCTGCACACACTCAGTTCTGCCTTTTTCACTCGTGCTCTGCTGCTTCTTCCCTGACGGCTATTTTGAAAGAAGGCGCGTCTTCCTGCAGGCTTCGTGTGTGTGCGCGCGTGTGTGCTTCGAGCTGCTGGTGTGTGCGCGCGCGCGTGTGCTTCGAGCTGCTGGTGTGTGCGTGCGTGCTTCGAGCTGCTGGTGTGCGCGCGCGCGCATGGTTCGAGCTGCTGGTGCGTGCGTGCGTGCTTCGAGCTGCTAGTGTGCGTGTGCGCGCATGTGCTTCGAGTTGCTAGTGTGCGTGCGCGCGCATGTGCTTCGAGCTGCTGGTGTGTGCGCGCGCTTCGAGCTGCTGGTGTGTGTGTGTGTGCGCGCGTGTGTGCTTCGAGCTGGCAGCAAGCTAGGACAAGGCCTGTGGGCTTTGGAGGCCACCTGCTTGTGTCTGCACGGTCGCTGTGCCATTCCTCGCAATTCTGAGTGTCCCCATCGCATGCCTGCCCATGGTGCTGCCGCAGAAATGCGACGCTGGCCTCCAGGTGGCCCAGACGTGACAGGTTAGCTGTGTCTTGCTATGTGACCCTCCCACTCGCCCGGCTAGTCTGTTCACAGCTGGTTCTTACGGGTGTTTTTCTGCCTCTAATAAGTTGCTCCTGGGTGGTTCTCCAGCTTGCTGCACCCTCCTGCCTGCCTGCTGTGTCCTGAGACCCGGGGAGTGTTTTCATTAGTGACACACCGGCAGCTTCCCGGCCCCGTGCCGCGTGACCTGTCGCAGAGCCGTCCCCGCCTGCCACTGCCCCATTTATCCCTCCCAGAATGCCGCTCGCCACTCCAACACCTGGGAATTTGTGGAGCTGAGGGAAAGGCAGCTGGAGCTGGGCGGGGCTCTGGAAGTGGGGAGCCTGAGGTTGGTGGCGTGCTCCGGGGTCACAGGGCTGTTAAATGGGG